TAAAGTTGGTTCTTGTGCATGATCGGGGGAAGAGGGACCACATTTTTTTAGTATCCTTTTTTTCCAATATAAATAGAGGACGTATTTTTCAACTGTGTCTACTTTTCATAAACGTAAAAATTTTACAAATTTTTTGTGAAAAAAACCCAAAAACATCGACTTTTCGACGAATAGTGGTCAATTTTCGCCGAAAATCTCGAAATTTTAGAAGATTTTAGCTCTTTTCCATTTGGAATATAGTAAAAATTGACTAAAATTACCTTTAAGATGACTTAATTACGGCATTAAAGAATTCTATATCTATGGAAAAATTGGATTTGCCCCCGATAATGCAAAAGCAACCTCGCGTTTTGCCATTTTGGCATTTTTTACATTTTTACTACGAATTCGTTAAATAGTCTACTCTTGCGTGTTATCAGGGCAAGCTAGCAGAGAGCCTTTGGTGGAACCTTGGCTTCACTTCAGCGTTCATTCGGGACAAACTAGCAAAGGTCATTTGGAAGAGAGACGAGAAGATAAACCCAATTAAACTAAGGCAAAATAGTGGATTTTTTTCTTTTTCTTATATGTTTTCCGATCCGATGCTTTCTTTAGCTAATGATCAGCCTTTTTAACCGAAAAATTCCAGAACGCCCCCATGCCGTAGAATGTTCAGCGACGTCGCCATGCTACTCTTGTTACCACTGGTAAGAACGATTCAGCTCTTAAATAATTCTTTCTCATTCAGGTCGTTCTCTCAAGCGTGCAGGACGCCGGCGCCAACACCGAGCTGGGTAAGGACTCTATTTAACACTTTCACGCTCTTTTATTTTAGGCGTGACCTGGGTGTGCGAAGATGATCAAGTGGTCGTCTCGTTGATCTCCACCACCGGGTTTAGCGGAAAGATTATGACAAATAGGAGAGATCCGGAGTGTCAAGCCAGCGGTAGTTATCCGGATTTCCACTGTTCCACCACCCTTTTTAGGCGATGGTATGCAGAAGGTGAACATGACGATCCCGTTCGCAAACTCCAGCGCATGCGGCGTGGTTTATGATGAGGTACTAAATGGACGAGCAAGGAATGGCGATGGATTCCTAATAAAATTTTCTGTGCAACGCAATTTTCTTTTTACGCAACGCGCGAGCCCACTTTTTATTGCGTATTGATAACGCACAGGCTAGACTTGTTTCGGAGCAGATCACGACCGTTTCCCGGTCCCGCGCGTTGCGTGTTACCGCAAATTCTGTGAAGCCTAGAAACGAAGTCACTTTTAGAAAAAGCACAGCTACAAAGTCAACGTCGAGGTGCACACAAATCCGAATCTTGTCGTGGATTCGGACAGCGAGTACCCGATCGCTTGTGCGGCCCCTGGGCGGAAAGAGGAGAGGTAAAGACAGACGAGAGAGAGCGAGAAAGAGAGAGAGAGAGAGAGAGAGAGAGAGAGATAAAGAAAGCTAATAAAATTTTTCCAGCTTCTCCCCGCCCTCCTTCGAGATGACGTTCCAACCCAAAGGGTCCAATATTCCTGTGAAGGTAACTTTAGTAGCTCTGCATGAAGACACCCCCCATTCCAGGACCTAATCTTTGGCGACGCTTACACGCTTACCATCAAGCAATTCTCTGAAAATCGACTGCCGTTTGAAGTAATGAAATGTACAGCAAAATCAAAGACCGATGAGGCGACTGTAAATTGGAGTGATAGAAATCGAGATGATTTTTCTAGCTGACCGACGAGAGAGGGTGCCCGACAAAAGCCGGCTTCTTCACGCAGTTTAGTCGGAGTGCGGACGATCGGGTGAGTGGATCTTTTGAGGCTGGTATTAACCAGTAGCAGCTATTTGAGAAGATCCTTAAGGTATTATGAATTCCCTGTATCTTTGACGCCGCCGACGATGCTCAGTCATTTTTCAGACAGCCACCGCGTCGGTGCCGTCGATGCTCAAACCGGAGCACTCGTCCGAGCTGTTCTTCCGGTGTGCCGTTCGGCTATGCCGGGCCGGGGATCCGTGCACGGTACGCTGTATCCGATATTTTAATGGATTAGCACAAGGACCGTTCTTTATACAGTTACGCGATGGAATTGAGAAAGAAAACCGGGTATTGGGCTTAAAGCCACGGAAGCTAAGCCCAAGCCTAAGCTTAAGCCCAAGCCAAAGCCCGGGTCTAAGTCTCACCGTAAGCCCAAGCCTGATCCGGAGCCTTAGCCTAACCAAGCTGGCTTGTAAGCTTAAGCTTAAGTAAAAAATATACCGCAATTAATTAATCAATCAAACAATTTTTTTCAGTCCCACTGCCGAGATGACCAAGATGTCTTGGACCAGACAACGGCGCTTCTGAATTCGGTCGACGGAAGTGGTGATCAGGCCCAGGACGAGGTTTGTCATGTTTTCGACTGACTTTCACTTCAACACCCTTAGAGAACCCTTTACAGCGCATTGAATCATTCCAACCGCTACAAAATGACATTCCAATGTTTTGCCCCCATCCCCCTATCTTGCGTCCCCATCGCCGTCAATGCAAATGTTTTGGTTTTTGGGGTAGGGAGGGCCGCGTCGCGTTTCTTGGGCCGGACAGCCGAAATGCTGACCCGATGTGTCATTTCCAAAAAATGTCATTTTATATTTTCGTCCTTGAATTGTTTCCTGCTCAATTGGATAGGGATCATAAAATGTCTTTAAATTTAAACATCGGCATCTATCTAAATGCTCACTTGAATTAGTTTATCGCTTTCTCCCTCTCTCTCCCTCTCTCTCTCTCTCCCTCTCACTCTCTCACACTATCTCGCACACACACACTCTCTCTCCCTCTCTCTTCCTCTCTCACTCACTCACGCTCAAAAAAATCGTAATTCCGAGAAGCAATTCGATAGCGGTCTAGGTCTAGTTAATGGATGGGGTCGATTCCGGACGTCCCGAACTTTTCCGAAATTTATGACTCCAAAATCTTTCTTTTTTCAGGACACCCGTGCCAACGTCTTCTACGTGAATACCACAGTCCGAGTACGGGAGATAACGACCACCCAAACACTTCCCGAGATCATGCAAGATCAGCAAAATTTCACCGAACCCCCACCGACGCACTTCAACCGATTCCCACGATTCAATGAGATGGGAAACGAAGAGTTGATGGCCTACGGTCTCGTGTTTCTCATCGGTGAGTGGGTCTTCAAGGAACGGGCATGGCACGGCAACCACCGCCAACCATTTTTTAGGCTACCTGATGGCGACGCTGTTCCACGTGACGTTGTGGTGTTGCTGCTGCCGTGGAAGGGGCCGCCGGCGCCAGGGAGACGTTCGGAAGGAGGACATCGTCGTACGGAGAGCCACCGAGACCGATTACTGGATTTCCGAACCGACGGCTGAAGCCAAGGGTAAGTAGCTGAGCATCTAGCTCGCTAGCTAGCTCTTTCTCTCACTCGCGCGCCCTCACTCTCTATCTCTCTCTCTCTCTCTCTCTCTCTTTCTCTCTTTCTCTATTCCACTCGTTCTCTCTGACTCTGACCAATTTTCAGAACCGAAATATGGCATCGTCACTCCAAGCCCGTACTATGGAGTGTCGCGCCGTCTCTCCAACGTCTCCTACGCGTCCGTCCAGGTGAGAAGCGTTTTAAAGGGTCTGGCAAGGCACGACGGATTGTGTAGCTGCATTCTATGTAGATTGGACACGCAACGCGTACGCTGCTTTCCGGTGGTGAACGCGTCGCGGTCGTTGCGCAACAGAAAGAAGAGCGTGCGCTTCGCGTGTCGCAGCTGTGGGAATAAAACCAAATACCCGAAATTTCAGAAGAACCACAGCCGTCCAGTGCGGCCAGCGCCACCTGTACCCTCGGTTGGCAGGGATTACGGTGTCCCGTCGACGATCAGCATCCCCGGGCAGGGCACAGAGATGTCTGACTATGGTAGGTGGAGTGAAAGAGAAAGAGACAGAAAGAGAGAGCGAGAGAGAGATAGCGAGAAAGCGAGAGAAAGAGAAAATTAACTTTCCAACCCTGTCATCAAGCCATTTCTAGAACCGCCTTCGACAAACTGGTGATCTTGTGGTGCTTTTTCCGAATATATCCTTTTTGTAATGCCATTGTTGCATAATTTCTTGACTACCTCCGAAATCCTGATTATTTTTAGGCTCTAGCGTCGACGGCAAAGAGTACGCGCCCACCACCAGCACGTTCATGACCCACTCGACGACGGCTGAGACCGATCTCGGCAGCCCGGATAGTAATCACGCTATGTCATATCATTAAGCTGAAGCTTAAACGTCTACTAAGCCTACTAAGCCTAAGCCTAAACTTAAGTCAAAGCCGAAGCCGAAGCCTAAGCCTAAGCCTAAGCTAAGCCTAAGCCTAAGCCTAAGCCCAAGCTTAAGCCTAGGCCTAGAACTCTCGACTTCGCTTTTGTGATTTTGAAGCAATTTTCTGCTGATTCACGATTTCGCAAAAAATTATGCTAGCTGCGCCAGAGAATTTTAGCAGGTGATATCTGATTTTAGTCTTATTACCCCCTTCAACGCTGTAACACCTGTTTTGTGCCAAAAATGCTCTTTCACACACCCAACCGCCACATGACAGCTTTCACCCATCCTCGAAACTTTGCCTTTTTGCCCCTGAAGTCCCGATTGTGAATTGATTACGGGTTCTGCTACTACTCCCTCGCATTCGATTCAGTTCTTGTTTGTCGCTTTTTCTATGGATTTCTCTCTCTCTCTCTCTCTCTCTCTCTTTCGCTGTCTCTCTTACCTGCAATTCTCGAATTTATCGATTTGTGTGTTTATTCTAGTCCTCGATTGCCTATCTGTCCATACCTGTACGTGCGAATAAACGAATTTCGAAGCAAACTTTGACACCTTTAAAGGAGCCAGGAAACCAAAACCAAAACACGTAAATGGAAGCTAGCAAAGACAAATTGGGGAATCGTGAAAAATTTTCGGATCTTTGTGGGAAATAAGTTCTCCAGTCCTCCAGTTTTAATCCGTTACGCCATGGAAAGTCGAAGTGTCTCTCTCTCTCTCCCGCTCTCTCTCTCTCTCTCTCACTCTCTTTGAAATGAAGAAAAACCGAGTTCCGGCCGATGCCGATTTCGCAAAAGTCCTCCTCCGAGACCCATTTCCGATCTGATAGCCGTGATGTTGTTAGTTGTCTAATGGACGGTGCCCGAGCCGTGGTCACAGGCTTTCCCTATTCATTCCCCGGCCCATTCCCTCGGCTCGGCGATGGCTTCTTCACCTGCCCACGTCCTCTGGGGATGTCTCCTCATCGCTACCGTAGCCGTGGGTTTCATTTTCACGATCGTTAAGCTTGTAAAAATAGCTAATCTGTTTCAATAAAATCTAGCTGCCAGACTTCTTAAGAATTCCCATTGACCTAGATTCCGGCAGAATCCGTCTAGCGTTAAGGTTCCTAAGATCTCTGCTCTTAGATTGCCGTACCCAGCTACCGTAACTCTCAATTTTCAGGGACAATACGGTGGATACCCACAGCCGGTTGCTGCCGCCCCACCACAGCCCGGGTATGAATTACAGTATCCCAGAGGAATTCAGATATTTTTAGTCCCGGTTACCCCGCCGGCCCGTTGCCCTGGTTGGAGCGCAGCATGTACGATCCTGTAGTTAGTAAGTTTACGGTCGTTTTTGAGGCGTAGACTTAGTCTCCGGTACGGCTGAACCTAAGGCTTAGGCTTAAGCTTATTTTGAGTCTCGGGATTATGCTTCGTCTGACTAGCTCTGTTTTCCAGACCACGTTTGCACGGACGATACGAGCTTCTCCTATGCCCCGTCCGTCGAGTGGGGCCACCGCCATGAGCATCTCCACCGGCATCGTGAGTATTGGGCCTTTAAAGGGGTGGTGACACTAACAATTGTAGGCCGCCTCCACCGCGTGACGTGCTCCCGCCTGTCCGTCGTCTTCGAGGAGCACTGCACCCGATGCTGCAGGATTTCTGCCCAGCCGGTGCCCGGAGTCAGCCCGGTAAGGAAGGGAGGGAGAGAGAGAGAGAGAGAGAGAGAGAGAGAGAGAGAAAGAGCTGGCAATCTAGCAAACACTCTTTAACTGACTCTAACTTTCCCTGCACAGAGTCAACTTGCAAGGATCATTTATTTCAGCACGTCGTCCGCGGCCTGATCCTCAGCCACCGTCGCCACGGCGAGGACAAGGACATCAACAGGTGCATCTGCTGCGCCCCAGAATTGGCCCCCGACCAGCCATACTACAGCGACAGCATCGTGCAGCCCATCTACAACCAGGTATGCCGAGTCGAATTTGCGATAATCTAACGTGGGCTTAATTGCCGTATCGTAAAAGAATTCAAGATCAGCCGCCTTTTAGGCTCCGAGCTACAACTATCAACAGCAGCCACCCGTCGCCGCCGCTCCCACCGGCTACTAAACGGCCTCAAGTTTCACTACTTGATAGCTGTGAAATTTGGAATAAATGGTTTTTCAAAAAAGTGGCCTTTGGGTTTTTTTTTGTAAGTTGTGGCTCCGCTTCGGGGCCTAATTTCATTTTGTTCGTGTGTTTTCTTCTTCCGAAGCTAGGCTTAAAGCTCGGGCCGAAGTAGGCTTAGGCGTATTCTTATGCATTGAACTAAGTGAGGCCAGCTTAAACTTCCGCTCAGGGTCAGGTTAGGCTTCCTCTCAAACTTAAGCTTGAACCCAAACTCGGCTTGACTTGACTTACAAGGAGACGTTTTTGAGTGTCGTCGGGACTTTGACACGGGACCAAGCCTGACTTGTGCAGAATTTTACGCTGATTCCGAATATGTTAACCGTTTTTGCGGAATAGCCATTTCTCGAAAGTTATGAACGATATAAGCCTCAAAACAGCCCAAAATCGGCTACTTTCGATAGTTATAAAAGGCTTCGGAATAGGTTTTAGACAAAACCAGGTAGTACATCTTGTTCAGAAAAAAATTCTCTATAAAATGTACCATCTTTTCCAAAATCACTGAAAAGTTGGAAAAATTTGATAAATTGGGAGGTCCATAATTTTACGAAAATTTCCAAAATTCCAGAATTTTTGAGTTAAGTAGCTTATTTTATAGAGAATTTTTATCGAAAGTAGCCGATTTTGGGCTGTTTTGAGGTTTAAATCGTTCATAACTTTCGAGAAATGGCTATTCCGCAAAAACGGTTAACATATTCGGAATCAGCGTAAAATTCTGCACAAGACAGGCTTGGTCCCGTGCCAAAGTCCCGACGACACTCAAAAACGTCTCCTTGTTAGTTTCGGCTTTGGGTGAACTTAGGCTTAGGCTCAGGTTTAGGCTTAGGTTGAAACTTAGGCATACGATCAGGCTCAGGCTTAGGCTTAGGCTTAGGTTGAAGCTCAGGTTAAGGCATAGGTTGAGGCTTGAACTTAGGCTTTGGCCTTTGGCGTAAGCTCAGGCTTAGACTGGCTTGGGCTTCACCTCCTCCATTCCCCCAGAGGTCATCGAGACGATCGGCTTTCGGAACTCTCGCTTTCTCCTTCTCTGGTCAATCCCCTCTTTTTTGTGATGTTAGAAGGGCTGGAAGGGGGATAGTAGAGGGATGGCTATCTGTTGGTGGGGGATGGAGGGGACCGTGTCAAGGCCATCCCCCCATTTCCTCCAATATCCAGACCAGTACGCCACGATCCTCACAACGGGGTGCAGCTTCGTCCCGCCGACACTCTCATCACCCGGAGGGCTCAATTCCATTTCATCTTTTTTTTTGTAAAAATCCGAAAGATTCTCTGCTAGCTAGGCCTTGGTTAATGACGTCTGACGTATTAATTCCAAAGTTTTCCGCAAAGATCTCTGCTACCCTGCCGATAATAATGGGAAGAGGTTTGAATGACGTCCTGGTTCAAGAAATCGCGCTCTCTCTCGCTCTCTCTCACTCTCTTGCTCTCTTTCGCTCTCTCTCGCTCCCCCCCTCTCTCACTCTCTCTCGCTCTCGTGTCTTCTCAAAAATCCCAAATCATCACTGCTCGCCTACCTCTGACCCCGTGTAGCACTTTCCGTGTTCCGCTTCACTCCATTTTACGACCCTCTTTAGGGTGGTACTGTCACTTTTCCAAAACCAGGACTAGCAGGAGAAAATCCACCGGATTATGGGCGCTTCCCTAGTGAACGCGTCGAGGAAGCGTTTTCCCGGGGGGGCGTTTAGCGATGTTTGACCGAGTTGTGCAGATGGGGGAGGACGAGACGATGCAAATTCCGCCTCACAGTATGACATTGACGGCTCAGTGGAAACCATTTGACCCATATCTAGAAGATATTCTAGTCAAAATGGTGTAAATTTTGCGATTTCCCAAATGCTCTCTGCTCTCTCTCGAGCTCTCTCTTTCACCCGCTCTCTCGCTCTCTCTCTCTCTCCGTCTCTCCGCCTCTCCGTCTCTCCGTCGCTCCGTCTCTCCGTCCCTGCTTCTTTCTTGCTTTATCCATACCAGATCTGCCATTGCCACGTTGCCGAAACCATTTTTAGCGGTGCTTTCCCAGTCCCTTTAAAACCGTCCCCATTGTGCCATCGCATGCATTCGGGCATACCAAAAAGGGCGCAGAATAGACTGGTTGCCAGGGGTCAGCGGGAACCGGCCCCCGCTGAAGAGCCCGCGGGTCCATATCCGGCTCGTGTGCCCCATTTTTGGGGGCATTTCTCTCTCCCGCGCTCTCTCTCTCTCTCTCTCTCTCTCTCTCTCTCAATCTCTGTCGGTTTGTATTCCGCAAACAGCAGCTAGTCATCGGATGGTATGCTCAAGCTTTTTTTGGATGGATCTTGCAATGAAGCTGCAGGCGATTTTTCGAAATCGTCACTGCTAGCTTGCCAGCTTTTCCAAAAAGATTATTTTACCTGCTCTGACACTTTATCACTCACTCTCTCTCTCTCACTCTCTCATACTTTGTCTCCTACTCTCTTTATCTCTCGCTCTTTAAACACTGCATTTCAGCTTTCATCTCTCCAACCTAAATGCGGGTGCTGGTCGCCTTGCTGGCCCTAATGGGCTTGGCCCATGGTAAGTCTACCAATTCCGGATGCTTCCTGTCCTACAGTACCACTAATCTACCCAACTTTTAGCCAGCAGCTGCAAGAATTCGCTGTACGTTCGATGGCCGGGGGTACGGCTCAACTTCCGGGCAGTCGCTTCCGGGAAGCTATCTTTAAAGGCATGCCAAAGCGCTTGCTCGTTGGGAGAAGATCCGGTGATGGCAGGTCGGATTTGAAGGGAGAAGCCGGGAGAAGCTTTAAAGGGATAGTGACAGCGCCCAAAACCCTCTATTTCAGGCAAATCCCTCGAATGTGCCGCGCTCAACCATCAGACCTCTGTCGATAACTTTAACCACCATTGTGACGTTTTCCAGGTAGAATTTCTCGGCGTTTAGCTAGGCTTGTCAGTCCTTTTAAGCAACTGAAACTAACGTAGAAGGGCAGATTAGCAGAGAGGATTTAGGAAGAAGGAAAAATGAGGAATTTCAGCCCCACCAACTCCAAAATGTCGATGGGTTCGTTGAGGCGGACGATCGGTACTCGTTCTACTGGCGTTATTGTGTGGATTGTGAGTTTAATTTTTTTCCTAGTCTTCGCCATGGTTCTCTCGCTCTCGCTCTCGCTCTTTCTCTCTCGCAAAAAATATTTTTAGCCCACAAGCAGTGCGGCAATGACCACGCCTTCACCTTCATGTCTGATCGATACATGGAAGCGACAGAGGTATGTTCTGTTAATTTAAAGGACCGTAAAAGCCAAAATTTTTCCTTCCATGGTCGTTGAAAACTTATCGCATTCAGGTAATCGAAGTGCGACACACAAGCAGCCTGGAGGACTGTCTGGCCGAGTGTTTGAACGAGGAAAAGTGAGTGTCTGCGTCTCGCTATCTCTCTCCCCCGCTCTCTCTCACTCGCTGCCCTGTCTCACTCCCTTTAAAACGTCGACACGCCTTCAGGTTCCCGTGCCGCTCGCTGTCATTCAACCGAACCGACGGTGGTTGCCACATGTCGGCCAACAACCAGTTGACCAAGCCGAAGGCTATCCGCCTAAACAACAACCCCAACTACCGTATCGATTACTACGAAAACAACTGCTATAATTGTGAGTCCGAGATGCTCGAAACGAGCTCTTTAGGCTTTGGCTTAGGCTTCAGGGCTGAGTCTCAGCACAAAATAAAGCTTATCGATCACCACTCATTTAGTAACGGACAGCTATAAGTTTGAGTACAAATGCCAAGACGACGGCGTTCTCGTGACGATCGACAGCAAGTTCCCGTACACCGGGGCTCTATATGGTAGTGGTTGTCATTTGTAGTCTAACGCAATTTTCAGGACTCTACGATTTCTTTACTTGCCGAATTGAGCCGAAGGAGCAGACCCGGTTCGAGTACTTCTTCCCCTCGCCCACCAAGAGCAAGCGGTGCAGCGACAGTATACGGTATAAGGTGGGGGTGTTTTCGAGGAAAGTGATGCAATGATGGCTGCAATAAGTTACGCTCCAATTATCCGTAGCCTACCTTAAGTTACGCGGAGCTACGCTAAGACACGCTAGCATACGTTATGCTACGTTAAGTTAAGTAAGGCTACGCTGGCCTACGTTAAGCTGCGTTGAGCTGCGTTGAGCTGCGTAGGGCGACGAAGACGACCGTAATCTACGTTACGCTACGCCAAGATACGCTACCTTACGCATTAGTCACGATCAGTTTCCAGGGCAACGACATGGTGCTGGACGTGGTACTGTCGACGGACGGCGTTGAGCCCCTGTATTTCATCACCCCGGACGATATGACTTTCCAGGCAAAGTCCGTCTTTTGGAGCGTAGCGTAGTCGCCCACTTGGGTTTTTAAAGGGACAGTACCAGCAAGCCCCAAGTCTAAAACCTCGAATTTCAGGTGCCCGATCGCTCCCTTAACTTCGACGCCGGCTCGATCGCTTAACCATTACCCGGAAGTTCCGTGAGTTAAATTTATTGAAGGTTTTTAACTATAAAATTATGATATCTTAATTTAACTTTAATTAGGTTGATAAGTTTAATTTGTTTAACACCCAGCAATAATTTTAATTTTATTTGCCTGCCTGATTTATTTGATTTTAATTTATATTTAATAATATGTTTTCGTATAGTATAAAATCATACTTTCTTAATGGCAAAATAGGCTTTTTTCCATTAAATTAGTTGAGTTAACTTAATTTGCTAAAGCTGAAAAAGGCGCCCTTGAAAAGGCATTTATCCTGGCACTATCCCTTTAAACCACGAAACTCGGCTCAAAACCCGTGGCTCATTGGTTACGCTCTTGCCTCCCATCCGTACGACCAGGGTTCGATCCCCGCTGTGGCGCTCAGCTATTTGCTTTTTGCTTTTTTTGTTTTTCAATTTATTTTTGCCTTTTTGCAGCCCATCCACCAACGATATCACGGCCGATCAGTTTGCCGCCTCGGCGCACGCGCTGTTTTCTGAATTGGGCCGCGAGAGCGTCCGCGAATCCATCCCAATGATCATCAACACAACTACCACATCAACTTCAACGAGTCCACCCCGGAATCCAGGTGCCAAGACGTTCGAGCCGTCCAGAACTCCCCTCCCTACCTTGATAAATCAAGCTGGGAGCTCGTCTACCGTGACTCGGACGACCCCGAGGCCGACGACTACCAAGGACACCTACAAACTTCCGCTTTTAATAGAGGACAACACGCCGCAAGTCTTGACGAAGGGAACAACAACGACCGCTAGAAATTCATCTACCGGCTCGACTACGAGAGTGTACGCTACGACGACAACCGCCAGGCCAACCGTAACCCAGCGATCGACTACGAGTGTGTACACAACTACTACAACAACCGCTAGGCCGACGGTGACCACGACGAGGTCAAGCAGTACAAGCAGATCTACGACTACCACAACTACTACTCTTAGTACCACTACTTCGACAAGTACACCGCGGTAATTTGGTTGATTATTTTGCTTGGCATTAGTTGAGACCACTTTGAGTTCGAGAAAGAGAGAGAGAGAGAGAGAGAGAGAGAGTACACCGAAAAATCTCTCGCCTTTCTACAACTTCAATGTAGACCTACCACCACTACAACCACGACCTCGACGAGTACAACTACTACCACGACAACCAGACCAACCAGTCGAGCATCTACTGCCACGACGACCACTGCGACAAGTACGACAACGATCACTACGAAAAAGGTGAGTATCGAAGCCTACGTTGCAATAAGCACAAAAAACCTATTCCCTAGAAAGATCATTTACTCCTTTCAGCCGACCGCGGAAGTGAACTGGAACGAAAACGTGCACTTGGCGCGGGCGCCGGCTAAGCCGTTCGAGCCGCACACCGCCCCGACGACGACGACGACGACCACGGCTGGGCCACCTGGCACTGAACAACACGGGTTGGTTTTTCGATTTTTCGAGCGAGAGAGTATAACAGAAAGTGAGCGAGAGAGATAGAGAAGGAGAGAAAGAGAAAGAGAGAGAGAGAAAACAAGATATGTCCCAGCCTGTCGTTTCAATTCACTCTACCCCAAAAATTCTAAAAAAATTTTCAGCGCCAAACCCCGTCAACCCGTCACATTTGACATCTTCCACAATGGGCGTCCGGTTGAAGCTGTCGTTGTTGGAAATCGAATTATTCTTGATTTTACCCCACATTTCCCAATTCCACGTTAGTTCCGTGTTTTCAAAACCCCACAAAGCCTGATTTTCAGCCCGCTACATGTCCGTACGTGGGTGCCAGGTGGAACCGATTGATCCGAGGCGAGTTTTTGGCGGTTTTAAAGGGACCTGGAAGGTGGAGAGTGAGAGAAAGAGACAGAGAGAGAGCGAGAGAGAGAGAGAGAGAGAGAGAAAGAGCGGTCTTATCAAGTTGAGCTTCAGATATGACTGGGAGAAAGAGCCGCTTCCCATCATCCGCGATGGATGCCCCTCAGATTTGGTTGGACTCGCCTGCCCGCCCGCATCTACCGATCACGGCATGATGGTACGGAGTAGTTTCACGTAGTATAATGTAATATTGCCATCATTATTTTCTATTGCATTATTTAGGCCAAAAATTGGGCCTGCTAGCATATTTTTCGATGCGCTATCTAATCGCGTTAAAAATCCTGAAAAACCCGCGAAAATACCAAAATTTTCGGCTTTTTTTTGGAAATTATCGTAACATCAACATAATTTTTCTTATCTTTTATAGCAAACACTTTATTCAGGTCTCAATCGAAGCCTTCCGCTACCAGACGACTGCCCACGTACAGTACACCTGTCTCGTGAGGGTGTGCCCATTTGCCGAATGCCCGCAGGTACGAATTACAAAAAATCATGGCAAAAATTGAGTTGAATGACTATAGTAAGCAGCCATAATGTCGATATTTGCAGACGGAATGCCCGCATGTTGATGGCTGTGATGTGGGGCCCTTCTCGAAGGGGAGGGCCAAGCGGGGGTTGACCCTGGATGATATCAGAAGGGCACTAGAAGCAGACCCAAATCTACAACGCCAAATTGGGCTATCGTCTATGCTGGGAAGGACACCCGCCATTAATAGTAAGTTATGTTCAGTTGTGTTTATCTTGCTGTAAATCTCCCTCTCGCTCTCTCTCTCTCGCTAGTTCTCTCTTTCTCACTTTCTATCTATCTAGCTATCTATATATCTCTATCTATCTCTCGCTCTCTCATTCTCTCACTCTCATTCTCTATCTATCTCTGGCTCGATTTCCCCCTCGATCCAGAAAAAGCTAGAGAGATAGAGTGAGAGGTAGAGAGAAGAAAGAGAGAATAGGGAAAGTGAGAGAGAGAAAGAGTGAGCAAGGTTCTAAGTTTGCAGTTTCCCCAAGAATCTCTGCTGGTACGTTCCATTGCGTTTTCCTCTGCTAGCCCTAACACTCCCCTTTCAGCTGAGCAACAACTTCTCGCCCTGGCTGGTGATCACGTGGTGAAGCGTCGACTGGTCGTCGTCAATTCGGAGGATCAGCTACGGTAAGCCTTCGCCGATCTTACTGTATGCGATATTCCTTTCAGATACTACGTCCGGACCGGGCAGATGCCATAGAACGATCCCCGAGTCATCACACATCTTCAATTCTCTCACTCCTCTTTCATTTGTCCTTGTGAATACACGGGTATATCTTTTGTAGTTGTGGCTTTGTTTTGTGTATTTCTGAATAAATAATGGTGTCGTAATTTGACGAATATAGAAATCGGGACCGATTTTCGTAAAGGGTCTCTGCTAGATTACCTTCCTGAGAGTTGGAGTGGAGAGAGAGCGCGAGAGAGAGCAAGAGCGGTAGATAGACCGAGAGAGAGATGGAGAGGAAGAGGAATGAAAGAGAGAGAGGGAGCGAGAGAGAGAGAGAGAGGGAGGGAATAAAGAGCGCGAGAGTTAGAGAGCAATATTTTGGCACTACCTTACGTGTGTATCTTTCTGTGCTTGAGCTGCTGCTCCTTCCCGTCCTCCCCACCCCATTACACCCGACCCGGGAGGGCTTTTCGAGTCGGTCCGTTTTTCTTTCTGTAGCGGGCGGTTGTGCTGACTACGACTGGCACCTAACAACTCATATAGCCCGCCAGGGGGGCCACACCACTCACTCCCCTCACTTCTCCCGGAAAACCGCTGATTTGTGTCCCCGCTGGCTGTTTAGCCAAGATTTATCACCTCATAGGAAACGTGGGTGGGATTGGATTGGGTTGAATTACATGGGTTTGGCACTGGGATTTCACAAATTGTCACTGATAGCCGAGAGAGAGAGAGAGAGAGAGAGAGAGAGAGAGAGAGAGAGAGAGAGGAGACTGAGAGGGAAACAAATTTTTCTGAGGAATCTGTCGCCTCTTTTTTAGAAAATACTCATTGCTATTAACCTTGATCGCACTATCTCCCTCTCTATCGCTCTTTCTCTCTCTCTCTCTCTCTCTCTCTCTCTATCTCTCTCGCTCTCTCTCTCGATCTTTCGCTTTCTTCCTCTCTCACTCTCTCTACCCTTTTCTCATCCGTTCCGTTTCACAACAAAATACAACCCGACCCATGGGTTATGGGGGTAGCGCTTATCAGCTTGTTTGTTCCCCGGGAGGTCGGCGGCAGTTTTCCTCGCCATCCCACCCCCGAAAAATGGACAATCAACAATTTTCTGGCTCCGTTTAGCGCAAAATCGGAAGCTTCATTAAACCCCTCTCCAGTAATCATAAGAGCTAATTGCGACGCCTTTAATCCACATTACCTCAATTCCCTAGCATTACTTGTTCCGTCTTATTACTGGGTTTTGCGAGGCCCGTCTTTTTTTGAGCGGAAAAGTTGGTACTGACGAAATGTTGTGAGTTTCAGGGGTGAAAAAGGTAAACAGTCGAAACCACTCGCCGACACACGCCGCGCCCCATCCATGCATCCCCCACACATGCATCATCCCGGCGCCTCCCCAAATATATTGATTGGACCCGTGCGCAAAATATTTGGGGTATTTTGATCGCACTCTCTCTCCTCTCTTTCCCCTCTCTCTCTCTCTACTCCTCTCTCTCGCTCTCTCTATCTCGTGCCGATAACAGGACTACTTATGCTTACAATTACTTTGTTTACTCTTCCGAGATGATAGATAATTTCCGAAAAATCTTGGCTTCCAAAATATACCGATATTGTTTTCGGTTTTTTGCTAATTCCCAATCGTTCCGAAACTATTTTTTTGCATATTTGGGGCAGGCTGAATGGAGCGTTGCGGGACGCCCGGTCTCCCTCCCGAAAACAAGATCCTTTGTATGGAGGAGAGCAAGAGAGGGGGAAGGGCAAATCGGGAATCGATCCCGGATACCTCCACTTGGCTCCCCTTTTAGCCTTTCTTTTCGGATATCCTATTATCTCATTTAATGTTATAATATTTGCTGAATATTGCGTTTCATAAGGCCAAACTTTGTGATAATGCCTAGTTTAAGTTAGTTTTAAGTTACGAATGCGATACGCCACTTTACCGAGAAATATGAACCTTTTCGCTACGGTACGATCGGCTTTGCCTTCCGATACAGGGAATTACGTTAGATCTCGCTAAAGTACGCTAAAGTACGCTCTGCTACACCAGACCCTACTACGTTTCTATGTGTTACGATAAGATTTGATGACCAAAAAGGTAGTTTCTAGGCGCTGCGCATAGCCACGTAAAGCTACACCTATGCTAAATCGCGAATCTACGATGCAACGCAAAACTCGAGATCCCAGGCTACGTTTCGTTAATCTGCGCCGGCTTCCCCCATAACCCAATCCATGAATTTTCGGACCAATAGCGGAATTTGGAATTTTTCGGAGTTTTCTTGAAGCGAAAATGTGTCACCCGGATTCCCAGCCATTCTCCCCCAAACACGTTGAATCATCTGGGGCTACCCCAAAATTGCGAATATTGAAATGTCCGTTTCGCTACGCCGGCTGTATCGCTGCGCATTATCTACAAATGTTCTTCTCCAGACTCGTGTCCGTGATGGCGGAGGGTGGGCTGAACGTGAGCGTCTTCAAGTATCCACTCGGATTCATCAGGGTCATCCAATTTGTGAGTTTTTGGGTTGATTGAGAGTGTGAGAACGAGAGAGCGAGAGAGCGGGGTGTGAGAAATTGAGCGGGAGAGAAATAAAGAGAGAGAGAGAGAGAGAGAGAGAGAGAGAGAGAGAGAGAGAGAAAGAAAGAAAGAGAGACATACAGAGAGAGAGAGCGAGAGAGAGACCTAATCCCAAATATTTCAGGTATTTCTCGTCATCGCTCTAGCTGCAGCCAATTCCTGGCACGCCGACGTGACGTACGTTTGCGTTGATCCGACGACAAATACGACAAAGACGCCGATCCAAGCGAAGACCACCACATTTTCGTATGTTAATTAGGGTTTAACCAGACGGAAAATAAAAGCGCGACTTTTTCTATTCAGAATTCTGAAAAATTTCCAAGTGTCTGTAAGCCGGAAAAATTTACAGAATGGCCTCCCACCAGCTGGAGACATGTGATGGAGGCAAGTCCACGTTTTGGACGGATGGTGCTGGAGGGTAAGTCAATCTCAAGCTCTTTCTCTATCACTCTCTCTCTCTCTCTCTCTCGCTCTCTCTCTCTCTCTCTCGCTCTCTCTCTCTCTCTCTTGCCGACAAACCCTTCGACTTCCAGTGCTGCCGGATTCTTCTATTTTACGGCCGTCGTCACGCTGATCTTCGTGTTGATCGTCACATTTTCCTACGTGGTCCTATGGCAAATCTACAGTAATGACAAGCGAATCCCGTTGGCGGTGGGTTTTAAAGGGTGATATCCAGACCGGGACAGCTTGAGAGAGAGAGAGAGCGAGATAGAGAGAGAGTTACAGAGTGAGCGAGAGAGAGAGAAATAGGGAGAGAGATCTCCAATTTTTAGGACCTCGCCGTCACGGCCCTCCTGTTCGTCTTCTGGTTTTTCTGCACCTCCATCTGGTGGTCAGCCGCCAATGGTATCGGCGGGCAGACAAGGTACAGTAACCAGGATTACGGTATTCAAGCCACGATTTAGCGAAGAGCATGTGAAGGCAATCATTGCTGGAGCTCCTGAAAAATGGGGGAGTTTTGTAGGAGTGTCGGCGAATAATGGAATGCTAACGATCTCTGTGGTAAGTTGCCTGGAAAAGCGAGGGAGAGAGAGAGAGAGATAGAAAGAGAGATAGAGAGAGATCCTTTTTAGCTGTCTGGCTGGGTGTTGGTGGCGACGCTGGCGCTGAACTCGTGGTTCATCTGGAAGGAGGTCGTCCCGCGGAGCGAATCAGCCCCCACCCAAATTGCATAAATCCCAAGAACATTCAAATTAAATGCTTTCGATTTATTGACGCTCGCAAACGTGCCTTACGCTGTTTCTTTGGCTATTTTATTTTTGTTGTGACCACATTCCATTCGCTGTATTTCTCTCTCTTTCTCTCTTTCTCTCTCTCTCTCCTCTCTCTCTCTCTCTCACTCTCTCTCTCTCGCCTTCTCTCTCTCTCTCTCTCTCTCCATCTCTCTCTTTCAATTTTGCGCTATTTTCCCGGGTTTTTGCTGGAATTTTCCTCATTTGTTTTTGCCGTACAGTTTCGGAGTTACCATAAACTTTATTTTGTCTTTTTTCTCAAGATACATGAAAACAAAAATGCAAATGATCACATTTTCACGTTGGCGGGCGTCGGCGAGAAGTCGGGGAAGGTTGGAATCTAAAAAGTACAAAATTTTCTGTGGTTTTCAGAATTTCTCCATCAATTTTCACAGAGATAGGGGCGAGCGGGCGGAGATTTTTTAGGAAATACAATATAAGGAGCAATCGGTAGCTTTCAAAAACTATCCTGGACACTTGACATGTTTTTTGGGAAGGGGTGAAACTCGATATCGTGGCCGGGGAGCAGTATTTGTGCACAACCATTTTGACCGATTATCCAAGCAACGGGTAAATATAGGGAATTGGTTAGTGTTACATGGTGTTGGCGAGAACTATCATTAATGCGGCTTTTTCCTCTCGGTCTCGCGCACGCTCTTCTCTCCTCTCTCTCTCTCTCTCTCTCTCCTCTCTCTCTCGTCATTCTCTTCTCTCTCTCTTCTCTCTCTTCTACCTCCCTCTCTCTCTCCCTCTCTCTCTCCTCTCCTCTCTTTCTCCCTCTCTCCCTCTCTCGCTCTCTCTCACCCTTCGCTCTTCTCTCTCGCTTTTCTCTCGCTCTCGATCCCTCTCAAAAACCCACCATCGGCCATGACATCCCATTAAACGGATAAAACGACGCGGGATACGGTATCCCGGCCTGCCCAAACATCGAACCAGGAGTCCACGCTAAAGGATGTCCATTATACCGTAACCCTTCTAATCACTCACTAATCATGGCCCCATCATTCTTCGGGCTCATCTTTGTGGGTGGTGGCTGTGTGTCAGCGTCTCGCTCATCTGCTCCATCGAGCTCTTCATCGACCTCCCCCCTTCGCATATTGTTCAGCCGCTTTCGGTGTTTGGCGCGACGGTTTTTGAACCATACCTGGAAAAAGATGGGGTTTAAAGAGATGGTGACAAAAGGAAAAAACGTGTTATTTTCCTCGGGACACTCTGTTAGCTTGCCTAGAAGCTCAAATTTCCTCAAAAACCTCTGCTAGTTTGCGCGAATCGAGTTAGGGCAAAAAAAATTCGGTTAGCTTTATCGGATTTTTTATGTCCCCGAGAATCTCTGCTATCTTGCCTGACTCTTAGGCTTCCAGGAGATGTCTGCGCTACGATTCCCTAAGAATCTATGCTAGCCTCAAATCTCCTTAACAGCGACCAACTTCCGCTTATGGTACAGGCTACCCGGGGCTGGTGCTTGGAGTGGTAATATTTACCTAAAGGCTGACACATCTTGCTCCTCGCCCCGAGAAGGACAAGCTTAGCCCCTCATCTAAGTCCCAGATTACCCCCTGAAGAGAGCGAGAGAGAGAAAGAGAGAGAGAGGGAGAGGGAGAGGGAACGGCTGTTCCGCTACAACTTCCATCTACTTCCGGTCGCCCCGGGGTACTGTAATTTCTCTAGTATGCTAGCAGGAAAGCTTCAGGAAAGCTCAGCAATTTGAGCTCAATTCAGAAAATTGGCAGGCTAGCAGAGATGATTGGAGAAGCATTTTATTCATTAATTTTGTATTTTTAGGGTGTAGGCAGCGTTTTCAGAAGCAGGCTTAGGCTTAGGCTTGGGCTTAGGCGTAGGTTTCGGAGTATACTTAGGCTTTGGCTTGTGATTCAGCTTAGCTTGGGCTTGAGCTTAGACTTGGGCTCGGGCTTAGGCTTAGCTTAAGCTTAAGTCTCGCTTGAAGCAGGTTAGGCTTGATTTTAGGTTTCTTAGGCAAGCTTGTGTGGCTTTGGTTTAGCTTCGGCTTAAGCTTGTCTTTGGCTTAGGATTCGGGCCGGCTTAAACTCTAGGGTTCCTGACGTGGCTAGACTTAGGCTTGCTTACGCCCCACTAAAAACAGCTTTCCACCAAATCCCCAAAAATCCAGTGCCGTGATTCGACAGGTGTGTGTCTGGGTGGGACGGATTGGCCCCCCTGCTACATAAAGACAACCCCCCCCCCCCCACCTGGCCATGTACAAATAAATCCACCCGGATAGCCGGGATGCAAATGAGAATAGGTGGAAAGGGATACTGTAGCCATCCGGTGTGGAATAGGGGGCAAAGGGGGCCGCCATGCCCTCGTCGGATCGGTCAACAAGTTGTCCTTTTGGCCCCTAGTCGAGTGGCCATCCCCTCTCCTCAACCAATCCGGATCAAATACCCATTGCGTAAGGGTCTTGCCACCGCCTCGGTGTCGAATTGGGATTGAAAATCGATTGATAAAGTGAAAATCGATTCTGGTGTATTTGCGGGGAGGGTGCACCTTTTCTTGAGCGTAAACCTTCTTGAGTTTTCAAAATATTTTTCTGAATCGTCATATGAGCTTAAATTTTGCTACACGGATTTTCTACTACCGTTAAACTAAAAAACTTTAAAAATTAAAGAACAAAATTAGTTTTGTCTGAGCATAACGCATCGGTTTTTGACTAAAATTGAAAAGTTTATTTTTTTAAGTTTTTACATGGTTTGCCACCTCAAACATGATTAAATTTAGCTAAACCCATGAAATTCTCATGCCCAACGTAGGCTTAGCTGAAGCTAAGGCTTTACTTCGGATTAGGCTTAGATTGAGCTTGATCATAACTCTGGGCTCCGCTTATACTTTCTTGAGCATGAGCCGCAAGCTCCTTCCAAGCGCCAATAATTTTGTTCTTACCTGTATCCTCGACTCGGGCAAGTCCACCATCTTGGCCAAACGGTCGCGCGTGGCCAGGTCCGGGTATTGGCAATTGTTGAAGCAGCGCTCCAGCTCCTGAAAAATAGGTGTAAAAAACTTCTCTCGTTCTCTCTCTCCCTATCTCTCACTCACCTCAAGCTGTTTATCACTGAAGGCGGTACGCGAACGTCTTGCCGTCGACTTTTTCTCATCTGGTTGTGCAGCTTCGCATCCACTCGAGGATGCTTCCGGTGGGAAACCGAGTTTTACGAATTCTGGAAGGAAAACTGTCCATAGGCGCCATCTTTTAAAGCCATTTTTGCTGAAACAAATTATTTAAGAAATTCTAGTGAGATTTTTAAAGTGAAAGGCCGATAAATCTATTAAATAACAACTATTTTTAAATTATCGATTTCCACAGATTGGCTGTGAATCCCGACCTCTCAGTTCCTTTAAAACAAAAACCCTGAACTCACCAGTGGCATTCAAATTGAAACAGTATGGCGGATAATAGAGCGATTCGTGCATCGAGCTCCACTACGCGAGAATCCTCTCGACGTAGCTGGTAGTCAAAAGCGCAAAGCGGAGCGACACGGAATGGGGCACCAGATTTGGGCCCAGGGATGGTAGTGGGAGGTCCGCCCATCAGCCATGATTGGGCCCTTGGCTCGGCCATGTTTGGGCAGACCCCCCGAAAAGCTGGCGGATTACATTCGATGAATGCGATTAGCCAGTATGTGGGTGGAGGGGGATAGGCTTCGATTTCACAGCTCATTTCCGGGGGAGGGGATCTGGATTTCTTGGGACGTTGCCAGCGGCATATGGTAATACGAGAGAGGTCTTGGATTTCATTAAATCTTTTTCTCTATCTCGCGATGTTCTCGCCCCCGTACACTTTATCTCACGCTCTTTCACTCTCTCGCTCCGTCTAGCTATCTCTCGCTCTCCGGCTCTCTCACTCTCACTCATTATCTCACTCTCTCTTGGTTGCTGTATCTCTTGCGCTCGTTTTCGTTCTCGGTCTCCCTACCTTTAACTAGCCCCCATAGTTGCCTCTCTCTCCCTCATACTATCTCTCTGTCTCTCTCCCTCTCTCGCCCCTCTCTCTCTCTTTATCTGTCTGGCTCTCTCTCACTCGCTCTCTCACTCATTATTTCTCTCATTCTCTCTCTCTCTCTCTCTCTCTCTCTCTCTCTCTC